GTCAGCGGTGTAGCCGAATCTACATCGGGGGGACTTTTTTATTTTTGTTTTTTAAATAAAGGTCAAAAACTACCTTCTGTGTTTTTTTTTTACACTACCATTTTTTTGGTGAATGAGTAGGGGTACCATGTACCTCATACGCATTCACATGGGTGTTCGGATCTAGGGGCCCCCTTGTTAAAGGGGACTGACAGATTCCGATAAGCCCCCCACTCACAGACCCCCACAACCACCTGCCAGGATTGTGATGAAGAGGCCCTTGTTCCCATCAATTTGGGGATAAGGTGATTTGGGGGGACTGCATACTTGGGCAAGGGTTAAGATTTTGTGGGGACCCCATGCCATTTTTTTATTTTGGCATGATAATTCCCCTCAAAATCATACCAAACCCAAAGGGCTTGGTATGTACAGGGGGGGGGGGGGTCCCTGTGATGTTTTTTTTTCTTAATTTTTAATTACAGGCACTTTTTTTTTTTTTTACTCATTACATTACCGCATGTTTTCACATGTTTTAACTCTTGCCATATGTTAGTAGTGCTTTTTAGTGAATGCCAACATAAAAAAAAACCCGATGTGCATACTTGGATGCAGTAAGATAACGGTTTTGCAAATTGTCCCCAGTTAGTCTTTACTCAAGGAACTTTATGCCAGCACCTGGCTACAATTGCATTCAGTGTTTTGTAGTGAATCACAATAGATTTTTGATTTTTCCTCAACGTGTTTCATGAACAACATTCACTTCTTTGGAGGACATCTGCAATAGTTGCTGAAATGTTTTTTGACAAACATTACTAAAGCCAAAATGTCCAACGTAACCCCCCCTTCCAGAAATAATCCAGATGTTACCTTAATTTGCAACCAAATGCCCCAGTCCATTGCCCTCCCATCCATCAGCACTGATATCAAAGCCAAATAGTTGAATAAACAAGGAGAAAACATAAAAACTACATTTGGAGAAAAGAGACCTACAACTCCTCCATGAAGCTTCTCTTCAGCATTATGAAGATGCTTATATGCTGCTTTTAAATGTAGAGCCAGGAACAAAGATGGGAAGCCAGGCTATGGACTTGCCAACAGATTGGTCCTTCTGTTTCCAGCAATGGATAGGTGTCAGTGGCTGTGTCTACAGATAAAGCTGGCCTGTTTGTATTTCAGTAAATCAATTCACCTTCACCTGCCCAGCCCTCTCTGCACCCTGCGGTGTCCATGGCACTAACCACAAGCCTTGTGACATCACTTTCTTTAAAGCTCAGTACTGGAAGTGGTCAAGGTGCTGTAGTGATTGCTTTTCTGAGGGGCTGTAGAGAGGCTGGTGAGGGTCCCTTGAACAAACCTGGCAAATGAAAAAAAGTGCATTCCTTATATACATTTTTGCCCTATTTAACCCTTTATTAACTCATAGTTTACAGCTCTAAATAACTCATTCTTATACTTTTATCCACACTAATGATGGGGTTATTATTATAGTAACAATATTTTGTTAACGAACTTCAACTGACTACTAGTGTTGGAAGGTTTAGCAGTAATATCAGAGACACATATGATGGGTTCTAATATTGCTTCCACTGACACCAATGCTTGGGATTGGGATTGCTGTCACCTCCACCAATGCTGAGGGATATTAGTACAGTTACTGACACCAGAGCTGGATATTATTTTTGCGACAACTGCCACCAATACTTGAGGTTATTTTTGAGATCACTGACGCCAGTGCTTGAGTTTATTATTGCAGCCACTGACACCAGTACTGGATATTATTTTTGCGACAACTGCCACCAATACTTGAGGTTATTTTTGAGATCACTGACGCCAGTGCTTGAGTTTATTATTGCAGCCACTGACACCAGTGCTGGATATTATTTTTGCGACAACCGACAGCAATACTTGAGGTTATTTTTTAGATCACTGACGCCAGTGCTTGAGTTAATTATTGCAGCCACTGACACCAGTGCTTAGGAGGTTATTATTGTGGCCACTGACACCAATGCTGGGGGTTACTATTACTGTCACTGATGCTAAAGATGGGCCTTATTTTACTCCCACTTTCTCTTCTAACAGATTTTTTAGTCTTGTTTTAAATTCCCACACTTTCAATGTACATTACTATGAAAAAGTTTTAGGCAGGTGTGAAGAGTATTTTCAGAAATAGAAGTGTAGAATTTTATCAATTAACAGAATGGAAAGTAAATGAAGAGAAGAGAAATCCAAATCCAATCAATATTTGGGGTGACCATCCTTTGCCTTTTTCTAGGTAGACTTGCACACAGTGTTTGAAGAAACTCAATGGGTAGGTTGTTCTATGTACATCTTGGAGAACTAAGCACAGCTCTTCTGTGGATGTCGGCTGCCTCTAATCATTCTGTCTCTTCATGTCATCCCAGACAGACTCCATGATGGTGAGATCAGGGCTCTGTGGGGGTCAAACCATCACTTCCAGGAATCCTTGTTCTTCTTTACACTGAAGATAGTTCTTAATGATATTGGCTGTATGTTTGGGGTGGTTGTCCTGCTGCAAAATAAATTTGGGGCAAATCACATGCCTCTCGGATGGTATAGCATGATGGATAAGTATCTGTCTATATTTCTCAGCATTGAGGACACCATTGATCCTGACCAAATTTCCAACTCCATTTGCAGAAATGAAACGCCAAACTTGCAAGGCACTTCCACCATGCTTCACTGTATGCCTGCAGACATTCATCATGACATCGCTTTCCAGCCCTTTTCCGAACAAACTGTCTGATGCTACAACCACATATTTCACATTTTGACTCAGTCCAGAGCACCAGCTGCCATTTTTCTGCATCCCAGTTCATATGTTTTCCTGCATAGTTCAGTCACTTAGCCTTGTTTCCATGACAGAGGTGAGGTTTTTTTGGCTGCAATTCTTCCATGAAGATCACTTCTGGCCAGACTTCTCCGGACAGTAGATGGGTGTACCTGAGTCCCACTGGTTTCCGCTAGTTCTGTGCTGATGGCACTGCTTGACATCTTACGATGTGGTAGGGAAGGAAGCATGATGTGTTTGCAGCACTGTTTCCTTGGCTGATGTCTGCGTCTACACTCCTCAACACTGAAATGAAATAAACCCTCACCAAAAACCTAATAAATTGATAAATAAATGCTGCTGCTCATAGATGAAAAAAAAAAACATCAACTAAAATATGACCAAACCAGAGCGCAAAAAATATTCTATAAAATATTACATAATAAATTCCATCAAGTGAAACAAATATGTGAAAATATATAAAAAATATAAAAAAAATATATAACAAAGTCCAAAGTCCCAAATCAATAGTAGAAAGAATGTGCTCCAATCAGAAAAAAAGTGCTCAAAAAAACGCCAGCCTTATAAATATAAACTTTCAGGCAGAGAGAAGATCACATCAATCCTTGTTCCATAGAAAGTAAACTGGCAGCAGTCTATGGGGATGTGCTCTCCTCTCCAATCGAAATGGCTCTGGAGCGCCTCAGCCAGCGTGTTCCCCACTCACCGGACGTGACGTCACAAAGCCTCCGTCGGGACCGGAAATTGCGTCAACGCGTTTCACACCTCCTCCAGGGCATTATCACAGACCCAGGGGCGGACTGACCATTGGGAAAGTCGGGCACTGCCCGAGGGCCCGGGGTCAGTAGGGGCCCCATGAAATGCCCCTGGTACCATTTATAGGCTTTTTTGGGTGTGCTTTGAGTGTGGGCAAGGACACAGGGGCCCCCTGATCCCCTATTGCCCGGGGGCCTCATGAATTGTCAGTCTGCCCCTGCACAGACCCAATCTGCTCCATTTCCCTCCTGCAGTCGCTGAAAGCCAAGTATTCTTCCTCTCCCTCCTGACGGAATTCAAAGGCTGCAGAAGAACAATGGAGTGGATTGGGTTCTGTATATGTCCAGGTTACTCCTATGTCTGCTGCCCAGGCCCCTATGGGCTCCTCTGCCCCCAACCCCCCTTTGTTTGCTTCCCCTCTCTCCTGCTGTCTGCTGCAAGCACACAGGGGGATGTTTCAGAATGGAGAGCAGGAGGAGTGGGTAAATATGTCATTGGTCCCTTCCTTTTCTGAATGAGCAGAGTGAGTGATCGGTACCAATCATTCTTTTGTCCATTCAGAACTGAAGCATAGTAAACAATGTTTACTATGCTTCAGTATATGAATAAATGTGAAACTCTGTACTGAGCTATTACTGTTCATTTGTTCTGTGCAGCTGAGATGGAGATCTGTGTCCTCAATCTCTTTTCTCTATCTTAACAAGTGAAACTTCAGGGGATATTTCACTAAAGTCCCCCCAATGGGTATCCTAACAAACTGTAAAAAATATTATTAAAACTTTGCAAAAAAAAAGCAAACTAAAATGGTTAAAACAATCCCACAAAAATGAAAAACTACTGACCCCATATTCTGCCCTACTGTCACTGTCCACTTTTTAAGGTAGGCTTTTTATTTTAGTAAGGCCTTGCTAGTTAAATTCTTTTTAAAAAAAAGTTACCAAACCCCAGGGATCTTGGATCTCTTTCATGCTGTTCAGGTAGATCTCCACCAGTCAAAGGTTGCCTACCCCTGCTTCAGGATATTCAAAAGATTTTGGAGAAACTGTCCACATTGCCTGGGAGAAACGTTGCTGATGCAATATAACTTCCTTGTGTCTTTTTGCTATGCTAAGTCTTCACATGTGTATGAACTGCCTTCCACAACCTCACGTTAGCAGAGTTTGGCTGTTCCTCACCCTGTTTTAACTCTCCTACACAGCTCCTTTTCAGTTAATGACTGTGTTTCAACCTACATATGATATTGATGATCATTAGCACCCCCTTGGTATAGCTGGATATTCATACACCTGACTTTAATCCTACAAATCCCTGATTTTGTACAAGTGATGCGGGTTTGAAGCCAAAGGGTAGTCACAACCAGGGGTGGACTGACAACTCATGGGGCCCCCGGGCAATAGGGGTTCATGAGACCCCTGTGTCCTCACCCACACCCAAAAAAAAAAAGCCTATGAAAAAGGTACCAGGGGGATCTCATGGGGCCCCCTACTGACCCCGGGCCCTCGGGCAGTGCCCGAGTTTCCAAATGGTCAGTCCGCCCCTGACTTACACTAATTTCACCATCAGGATCAATTGAGTGCAGTGGTTCATTTTTTTTTTTTTTTGTTTGTTCGTTTGGGGTTTTGTTTGTTTGGGAGAGGGGGAGCTGGAGACAGCAGGCATCAAATGATGATGGATTTATTTTCACTTTATTTTAATGAAGAGGGGGTATCTGGGGTCCCCCTTATTATTAAACATGTCATATGTTCTAACAATGCACGTACCCCGAGCCATCCCCTCCTCCCCTTCCCACTATGGCACAACTTCCCCTCCAATGCCCCACAAAAATCCCCCCCACCCTCTGCACACCCCCAAAAACTCCACAAGCCCCCCCCAAAAAAGGATAGGGCAGTGAGGCAGGGGCGGACTGACAACTCATGGGGCCCCAGAGCAATAGAGGATCATGGGGCCCCTGTGTCCTTGCCCAAACTCAAAGCCTATGAAAAAGGTACCAGGGGCACCTCATGGGGCCCCCTACTGGCAGTGCCCGAGTGATTGAATGGTCAGTCCGCCCCTGGTCACACTGAATATATAGATTTGATTTTTCTTCTGTTCACTCACTTTATCTTTTTTTATCAATTTTTAAAATGCAAACAATAAAAAAATATATATTTGGAAAGCTTTCTTTCTTTACAGAATTTCTGCACACCTGGCTAAAATGTTTGCACAGTGCTGTATGGGTATTGTTGTTTTTTTTTGTTTTTTAATTATTTGTTAATTATTACTGTTGCGGCATGGACATTTTTGGAAGAATTTAGCAGGCCATGGACTCACCAACACTGAGGACACACACTAATAGGTAAGATCATTTTAATTAGTTTATCAAACATTCCACAGACATGAACAGAAGCTTCCTGGGTAATGAGTCCTGGGAGACTGATCAGTGTTTTTAGAAAACATACACAAGGAAATATATATAAGACCCGCATGACACCTTCATACATGAACAGAGCCGCCATCAGACATAATTACAGGTAAATGATTTTGCAGACACTAATTACGTTGCAGAGTAGCTGACTGATGCACTGTGTTAGCCTTCCAAGGAAAACCTTTACTGACACCTTTCCTTCCCTGCTTTATCCACTTCCAGTCCAGACACTTTCACCCCCTTCCAGTCCGGACACTTTCCCCCCCTTCCAGTCCGGACACTTTCCCTCCCTTCCAGTCCGGACACTTTCCCCCCCCCTTCCAGTCCGGACACTTTCACCCCCTTCCAGTCCGGACACTTTTCCCCCTTCCAGTCCGGACACTTTTCCCCCTTTCCAGTCCGGACACTTTCACCCCCTTCCAGTCCGGACACTTTTCCCCCCTTCCAGTCCGGACACTTTCCCCCCCTTCCAGTCCGGACACTTTCACCCCCTTCCAGTCCGGACACTTTCCCCCTTTCCAGTCCGGACACTTTCACCCCCTTCCAGTCCGGACACTTTTCCCCCCCCCAGTCCGGACACTTTTCCCCCCTTCCAGTCCGGACACTTTCCCCCCCTTCCAGTCCGGACACTTTCCCCCTTTCCAGTCCGGACACTTTCCCCCTTTCCAGTCCGGACACTTTCACCCCCTTCCAGTCCGGACACTTTCCCCCCCTTCCAGTCCGGACACTTTCCCCCCCTTCCAGTCTGGACACTTTCCCCCCCTTCCAGTCTGGACACTTTCCCCCCCTTCCAGTCCGGACACTTTCCCCCCCCTTCCAGTCCGGATACTTTCCCCCCCTTCCAGTCCGGACACTTTCACCCCCTTCCTGTCCAGGCCAATTTTCAGCTTTCAGCGCTATCACACTTTGAATGACAATTGCGCGGTCATGCAACACTGTACCCATATGAATGTTTTAGCATTTTTGTGAGACAGATAAAACTTTATTTTGGTGGTATTTATTCAAACACTGGGATTTTTATCTTTTTGCTATATAAATGAAAAATTCCAAACATTTAAAAAAAAAAAAAAACAGTGTTAATTTTGCAAAATAATAATCTTTCTTCATAAATCTTGGCCAAACTGAATGCATCTATCTTTTTAGAAAAAAAAATAAACTCAAATTAGTTTATAACCAAAAATTATAATTTTTCAAAAACATTTTTTTACATTTTTATTTTATTTTTTTATATTATTTATGTTTTTTTTTTAACATACCATCACCCTAGCAGTACAGTGCCATCATAGTAACACTGTACTACTTGTGGGGGGTGATGAAGATTTTTTTTTTCTTTTTTTACACTGATTGCTTTTACACCCATAAAGGCTGTAAGAGGAATCATTTCTCCTTCTCTCTAGCTGCATTTTTGCAGCCAATGAGAAATACTGTGAGAACTGTGATTGGTCACAGCTTGTCACATGGTACAAGGCTGTTGTGAATATCCCTGTATCATGTGATCTCTGTGATCATTCACAGATTTCACAAGTAGTAAGTAATGATGTAAGCAATGATTGGCCAATCAGGGATCACATGATCGGGACCTCACACAGAGGTCCCGTAGAGCAATCGGTGTTCCGCTGTGCCACAGGCAGTGAATGCGGAGGCCATTTATAAACGGCCACACACTCCTGCACGGCTCCCGTCTGGGCCAGACGGAAAGTGGTTAACAAAATTGCAACTGATAGTAGTCTCGAATACGCACAAAGTGTAGTTACATACACAAACAAGTCGGCACACACATGCAACTACACACATGGTCATAATACTTTTCATTTATATATATATGCATATACAGGGCTTTTTGTCTCAGAAAATAGGTGCAGGAACTCCCTACTTCTAAGTAACTTCTTGTCTCTATCCTCTACATCACCAACCTCATCCGCAGATATGGCCCAAATCGCCCGCTCCACTCCTCCCAAGACATCTTGCTCTCTAGCTCCCTCGTCACCTCCTCCCAAGCAGACCTGCAGGACTTCTCCAGAGCCTATCCCATTCCTATGGGACTCCCTACCCCAGTATGTCCGGTCAGCCCCAACCCTGTCTGCCTTTAGGCGATCTTTGAAAACTCACTTGTTCAGGGAAGCTGACCCCACCTTCACCTAAGAACTGTACTTGAGCCACTTCCATCAGATCATCCCCCGCAGCTATCACCTTTTGTACCACCTCCCCCTTCCTTTAGATTGTAAGCTCCATGAGCCGGGCCCTCTTATTCCTTCTGTACTGAAATGTATTGTAATTGTACTGTCTCCCTTTATATTGTAAAGCGTTGCACAAACTGGTGGCGCTATATAAATCCTATATAATAATAATACCCACCTCCGAGAGCACTGTCCAATGGTTCCACGCCACTACCCACCTCCCAGTTTTTATAGAATGTAGAGCCAAGTGTCATTCTGTGGCGATAAGTAATTTGTATGGAATTTGTTAATGATAACAAGAAAATCAGTAAAATAGATCCCCTGCAGCCAGCAGCAATAGACCCGCCCAAGCAACAATGGACCCCCAGAACAAAATACCACCCTAATAACAATATACCCCCAGCAGCAGCGATAGATCTCCCAGCAGCCAGCATTGATAGACTCTCCAACAGCCAACAACAATAGACCTCTCCCTTAACAGGTCACTTCCAGCAACAATTGACATCCAGCAATAATAAACCTCCCCAGGAACAATAGATCCCCCACCAGCAACAAGAGACCTTTCCAGCAACAATAGACCCCTACCAGCAATAACAGATCCCCACCATCAACAATAGATCTCTCACCAGAAACAATAGAGCTGCCACCAGCAACAATAGACCACCAGAAACAATAGATTCCTCAGTAGCTAGCATTGATAGATCTTCCAGCACACCCCAGCACCCATTGTCATTACATACATTCAGTGCTGGAGGTGTTGGAACTGTGTTCCTGCTTCTTCTCACTGAAAAAAAAAGCCCTGTTCATACATAAATATAAACACTATATGGCCAAAGGGTTATGGATTGCTGTATGAGCTTTGCTAGGCTTTCCACAAGATTTTGGAGGTTCCGTGGGAATTTGAGCCCATTTGTGAGGTCAGGTGTTGATGTTGGATGAGAAAACTTCCTTGCAGTCAGCGTTCTAATTCATCCCAAAGGTGTTCAGTTGGGTTGAGGTCAGAGCTCTGTGCAGGACACTGGAATTCCTCCACACCAAACTGGTCACACCATGTATTTTTGGAGCTGGCTTTGTGCACAGGGGACAGTCATGCTGGAGCAGAAAAGGTTCTTCACCAAACTGTTTCCACAAGGCTGGTTGGCTTGGCCATATAGTCTATATATTGGCTAACTGAGTAGATTCATGGATTCAACTGTAATGGTAGTAGGTATCCATTATGTTTCTCTTACCTGGTCGATTTAATACCAGAAGCCATCAAATAATTTCTTAAGAGCTTATGGCTTTAGTCCATTGTCCAGAAACAAAACAGATGCAGCCTGAAGAAGACCAGATACATTGTAGTTGAGGATATTCCATGTGAGGAAGCCTCAGAAAGTATGGACATCTAATGGATCCTGAGAAGCTTCTTTTAGTAACTCCTCACACATAGAAGGAAGTTGTGTGAAAACATTTATAAACAGACCCCTAAGATTCTCACATTTATTTCAATTGAGTCCAATTCTAAGAAAATGTATGTGTCTTGGGAGAAAGCTTTGGGAATATTGTATGAAAGTTTTCTTACTGTAAATAGACCCCATAGAGTTGACAAACAGCATGCGTAATTAAAGAAAATTGTCTGGGCATTTTAGGGAAGCTCTTAAAAAAAAAACCAATAAATAATATAAAAATATTTATATTTGCAAAGTTACATATTTTGCCTGCCTATATTTAGAAGGTTGAGTTGTTGTAAGCCTGTACGTTTGAAGGATAGGGATACTTTTACAACCCAGATCAGATTTCTTTCTCCGGCCTGATAAAGTTTGTAATTAATATTTACTCGATGTATACACATCAGAAGATGGTAATGAGTATGTTCTCATTCTGACATGTACTCACCGGCCACTTTATTAGGTGCACCTATTCAATTGCTTGGTAACAGAATTAGCTAATCAGCCAATCATATGGCAGCAAATCAATGCATT